ACAAATTAAGTGAAACCCTAAAGACATGAAAAGCAAACTCTCACCTTCCTTCACACTGTCCACCCCACTTGAGAGCAAATGGCCAACTCTTCCAAGTGCTCAACTGTCCCCAGCTTGAATTACAGGATCAGATAAAGTTTCCCAGGATTTCTCAGTTGGAATATTTCAGAGGACATCAGAAACACACACCTTCTCAGAGGCAGAGCTTCCACAACCCAGCAGGGACATGATTGGCTAGATATGAATATGACCAATCTTTGGTCTTGATGTGTGTGCCACCTTCTGTCCTGGAATTAAATAAGAACCTAACAACTTAATTAGTAGATACATGCAAGCTCATTAGCATTATAACTAAGCTACTAAAGAAAAAAGTGGCTGTTTCTTGGTGATACATGTCCGGAAAAAAAGAAACAAGATTGAAACCTTAAGCTAGTCTGGAGTGTGTGTGTCTAGGGTGGCAAGCAAAAAAATGCCTTCAAGCTTAAAAAAGAAAGCAGAAGAAAAAATCCCTATAATTTGTAGAGGAAATTAAGCAAAAAAAAGTTAGAAGGAGGCCTAAAGGGGCCTTCAAAATATGATGACTTGCAACACCAAGAAAGAACCAAGCAATCTGTGTAAATCAAATGGAAATAAATTGATGTTCATCAACAGTCTGCATTACGCATTAAAGTTCTGTAATATTAATGCTGTGAGGTTGTCATTTTGATGAGGCTGAACAAAAAGTTTTCTTTACGCTTACCTCAGAGCATTGAGATCCTGTTTGTAGATTAAAATAAAATTAAATATAAAGAAGACACGAGAAACTAGCCATAAGTTAAAAATGCAGACTGTTGATCTTACTTTGTCTGATCTTAATATTGAACCTTACCATTAGCCAGGAATAATTGAATCAAAAATTGAGGAATTGAAGATAAAATGAGAAATTAAAGACTTTGGAAAACAAAAATGGCCCAATTCTAAAAAATAATAAGTGATAAAAAAATGGTCAATTCTTCAGTTAGATTGCCACTCAAAGTTTTCTGCAATCCAGTAGTGTCATAATTTGGGCTTAAGGAATATGACGTTTGCAAATTAATGAACATCTTGGGAAGTATTGAAAATAATAAATTCAGTCAAGAAGGTAAATATGTTGGAGTTCCAACAATACGACTATCATCGCACCTAGCTGGACACTGCAACTTTTGTTGCACTCAAAAATAAGTATTAACCTTATGCTTGTATAATATCGGTTTGGGCTAATGAGCTTGCAGATCTATTTCTGTACAAAGTAAACTACTATAAACAAAGGAAGCATTTATTTTAAAATAATTACCAGAATAACTAATATTGTCAAAAAATAGGAAAATTTGATAACAATGCAAAGACAAAGCTGATAAATGTTGTGTGCTCCCCACTTCAAGTCATCATGACAACTGAACATGGAATGTAAAATGACATGATCTGTAAATCAACCCAGACCGAATAAGTTTGGAAATAAAATAATTCTTATCCAAGATTCTTATCTTGTGATCATTATATTTATAATATTAAATGCTTCCCTTGTTTATGAATTAAACAACCACCATCAAGTTGCCAAGCACTTAAAAAAGAAAAAAAAAAAACATTTGAAAAAGGAAATTATTTTTGAATCGCTGCCACGAGTCAATGGCTTATACACTAAATACAAATTTTAACTAACTATATTAAAAACAAACCTAATTTTAAGAGTTATGAAGGTTACAGTAGGTAATAAGTTTGCATGGCAGCATGATGTTAGTTGTTGTTAGAGTTTATAAGTTAAATATTGATTCTAACGAGATACACTTAAATGACAAGTAATTATTTAGCAAGTTTCCCGTTGAGCAGCGAGGAATGTGCTGACTAAATTCTAAGAGTTTTCCCAATTAATAGTAATTTTTCATAGAAATTCAAACCCCATGGCAAAAGTAGAATGGACTGTGAAAAACTGGTTGTCCTGTGCACATGCTGATTGTACCCTGCTGATGCCCTCTAATCTCAAAATCTAGACTAAGAATGAAACCTCAGTAGAGGTACATGTATGTACCCGAAAAATAAAAGTTACCTAATAGTTACCATGACTGGCCTCTTGTTTGTTTCCCCTACACGTACTTTGTTGAGCATAAATTTGTATCTTTCTTTAAGTGTAACGTTCCATGCAAAACCTCAAAGGAAATAACTAGATAACTGAACTTCATATGTGTTTCTTGTGTTTTGTACATGATATGAATTTTGAATTGAAGAAATAAAGTCCTGAAATGAAGTTGAACATCATCTTGATGTTGTTGTTAATCTTTGTTTAATCCTTTAAGCCGCCCAAAAATGATCAGCAACTAGTTTCTCCTCACAGAGTGAACCAGGCACATCATGAAAATTGACCAAATGATCATGCACCACAAGAAAATTTGTCTTAGTTTTTAAAAATGATCAATCAGTATCTATTAGAAGAATATGGAGACAAGATAAGAGAATTTCTGTGCTGATATTATGCTTTAAATTGGTATGCACTATACTGGTTTGTTTCTTTCTGATTAATTTTTTAAATTGTTAATTACAACTTTTGGTCAGCTTCTCTAAACAATTTTAAAATTCTTGAGACTTTGTCTAGGAGAAACTGTACTTCACACATCTAGAAATGTAAGTAAGGGGTGAAAAAAAAAAACAAAACACTGCTCAAGGGAATCTTATGCTGGAACCTTCAACCCTAACTCAAATGAAACAAACAGGTGCAAGAGTAAAATTTACTGAACAATGGATTCAAATCAGCCAAATGGAATGGGTTTCATGATTAACTGGTTCATTAAATGGAGTCAGAGATCTTTGCTGCAGCATGTATGTTCTCTCAATGATATGCATCCAAAATGTAAAATTGGTCATGAAAGAGATGCTGGCTGGTCAATGTCAAGAGTGTTATTGTTTGTCCCATGATGTATTCCCATAGGATGCAGATGGAGGTGTTTAACTACTTCCTGCTAGCCCTCATTGCCAGGTGAAGACTATGAAGACCAGCAGTAAGCAGTCATAACACTGCAATCTACATCCTAAGGGACTACATCATGAAACAGACAACAACATCTTGAATAATTTATTTCAAATAAAAATAATTTATAAAGCATACCAGAATGAAAACTACATACAGTAACAGAGATCTCTGAGTCCAACCAACGACCTAGTTAATTGCATGCAGTAGTATACAGCTAAGGTGGTTTGCTCAAAAAAGGCACTTGTTTGAACAATGGTGGCACACACATCTACATATAATAATAACATTATCTGACTCAAAGCTAATCCTTGCATTGGTATGCAGCTTGTGCAGTTTCTGTAGTTTGTAAAGTTTTGGTGATCATGGTATAGGGCGGAAGTCAGTAGTAGCCTGCAGTATCAATGACAGTCTCTTCATTTTACAATGAAGTGCTAGAGTCATGCAGGTGTAGTTTTTAGGTTTGTTGAGGTCCTGATAATTAAGTCAGTTGTCACATGTACGTAGTTGTCGGTCTCAATCCATCTATAATGTTCATCAAGTAAATGTATTTGTTCTTGTTGGTTGGTTCATTGAGGTTGTGAACGTGTCATCATTTTTTTGTGAGTAAGTCATCTTCAAGGTGTATTAATTAGTAATTGTTGGCTTCAGGATGTCAGTGTCTATCTATATGAATTGTTAGTCAATTTTGTGTCAACTGGTTCTGTTTGAAGTTAAAGTTGGTTGGTTGGTTTGTTGAAGTCACAAATACATGTAAGTCAAACGTAAGGTGTAAGTAGTTGTCAGTGTCAGATGTCGTGTAGTTTCACTCCATCTGTTGTTAGTCAAGTTTGCATTTGTTCTGTCGAAAGCTAAAAAGTTTGTTGGTTGCTTTGTTGAGGTCGTAAAAAAAGTCATCTGTAAAGTACATGTATAAGTACTTGCCACTGTCAGATGGTGTATAGTTTCACTCCATCTACAGTATAGTTTAAGTCAAGTTTGTGTTGGTTCTGTTTGAAGTTACAGTTTAATGGTTGGTTTGTTGAGGTTGTAAATAAGTCACCTGTAGGGCGTAAAGTTAAAAGTCAGTGTCAGATGTTGTGTAGTTTCACTCCATCTGTTGTTAGTCAAGTTTGTGTTGGTTCTGTTTGAAGTTAAAGTTTGTTGAGGACAAGAAAAAGTCACTTGTTGGGTGAAAGAAAAGTAGTCATAGGTATCAGTTGCAAGTTGTTTGTTCTTGTGAGTTAGTGAAGTCAGAGTTAACCAGGTTGACTCGATCCAAACCAATGCAAGCAGTTTGCCAAGAGTCTATAATGAAAATCTAGTTGAAGACTATCAAACTAACGAAATAACCAACTAATCTGAACGGGGGTTGTGGAACAACAGCTGGGTGAAAAACCTCCCCGTACGTCCACTTGCTCCTAGGAGGAAAACCCCGGGCCAGCTGTACCCCATGTTCAAAGGCCTCCCGGGCTGGGCCAAAAAAATGCAACTAACTTAAGACAAACTACTTAATAAACCATCTTGTAGCCTTGTCTTGGTAGCCAATCTTTAAGCATCTTCCTTTGTGTCTGGCCTGTTGCCCATTTTCCACTCTCTCCAAGTCCATGCTGTCTTGGAATGATCTCTGCTGTCTAGCATCCTGTGACATAACAAGCAAGTGATAAGTTATTAATAGGTAAAAAGTAAATTAATTTATATTTAATTTCATTCATTGACTAAATGTACATCTACCTGGTGTTAATGGTCAGACTGTACATTGCTTACAATCATGCGGTTCAACAACTCATCTTAAGACAAGAATAAAACTTGCAAAGCTGACTGGAATGCTTTATCTCAGGAGACACATTTTAACCTTTAGCTTTTAAACTTCTAACTTAACTTTTGCTTTAACTTTTAATATTCATTTATGCAGGGCCCCACTGAAGAGCACCTTATAGTGAAGTGGACTCCCTGTTTAAGAGCAAATGCACAGAAATATTGAGGAAAGCGTGGCCATGGTCAAAATTTAACTAACCTTTGTTTCGAGTTTATAGAGAGGTATTTATGAGTTTTCAAAGGTTTTGGGGTTCATTTTTCTAAATACGGCCTACTTTCAGGAATATTTTTAGGAAAATGGATTTCGCACTCTCTCTGGCCAAAAAATGGCTGAATAAATTGACATTTAAAAATAGCATTGCAAAAATTATATCTTCGGGAGTTAGATACTAATATTAAAAGAAGAAGTTTTTTACACTATATATTTGTCTGTTTTTCGGTTGCAGATGATAGCTGTCACTGTGAAAAACACATCCTTTGATGAAGATTTGACAATAGCCGTTGTAAAGCAAGTTTTAGTCTATAATGGCAAAAAGACTTTTCGTTATGTGGCCAGGCTCGAATTGAGCTCATTTTATGGCTATAAAGTGTTGAAATACTCTTCTTTCACGAGATATAAACATTTGCTTGGGTTTTCCAGCGGACGCTTTGAAAAACGCCACCAAAATCTGAGAATTTTCTTTGAAATTCCAACTAATTTGGATATTGTCACAGTAACGAAACACTCACATGTGAGCGAAAAGGGGTTTAAACTGTTGCTTCAAACAATCGCTGCCAATAGCAACTGATTTAAGGTTTTTAATTCTGTTAATCTGATGCTGTGTTGGATGTGGTGATAAAGGAGTATATTATATGAAACTAGTAGTAATCAAGGATTAGAGCAGTGCATGGTACTCAGTCACGAGAGTACTTTGCATGTTTGGTCTACTTTGATGGCGTTCAAATGACCCAATAGAAAACCAAGTTTGATCGAATGACAGATAACGATCTGCACGTGAAGTTGAAGCCTGCAGTAAAAGTGTTTTTAATTAATCAAGTATTAACTTGTACTGCACAAAATATTTTCCAGGAAAGGCATTTGAACTGTTGGTGACACCTTTTGTTGAGTTACACAGGACAGAAAGTTTGTTTTCTTTCAACCAATTATAGGCACAATGAATTTGCCAAGCAACAAATCAGAAGATTTATTAAATCTGAACACAGATCTGAGGGTCATCATGGCCATTTGCGAGCTACCTGGACGATTTGTTGTCTTACCACAACTCCATTGATCTGCCACAAAACATTCTTTCCTGATGATGCAGGTTTTAGTTACTTGTTGTCGAAGGCGCAGGTCAAAATACGTGCAGCTTTGCAGAAATCATACACACTTCTAATCTATAAGTAGTAACAATCTTTTATTAGGAAGCTCCATCACTATAAGGCGATTACATGACAGCGTGCTTGTCCCTATGACGTAATTTGCCCCAGCTGTGGGGGCGGGGGGAGAGGGCAAATTGGTGAACAAATCCAACCCAAAAATTCTTGATACAAACTGGATTAGGATTGCGTTACATCACTTGAACACAATGAATTTAAGTTAATCACAGAGGCTCTACAAAGGTCACCAGGTGATGGCATATTCTCTATTACTGTATAGATGGTTTTCACTGTCACACAACAAAGAAATAAATCAAAAACTATTCAGTGGACAAAGTCAAGAAATTTTAATATTGTAGGAGACAGGTAAAGAAGACACTTCCCCAAGTTTTGGGACTCTGCATTTTCCCAAACTTCAGATATTTGTCGAAATGTTTTGCGCAAATTTACAGAGCCCAGTATGGAGCCGCCATGCTGTTGGAGCTCTGTGCTCCACCAACATGGTGGCCGGAAAATACAGTAGTGGAAACATCTGGAGCTTACTTTGGCTACCTAGGTGACTGATTATCTGAACTGTCAACCAACAAACATTTACACAAGCACTTTTCCTAACACCGCCACCCACCCACCGCCATTACTCTGAACTTCAAACGGCACTGGTTTCCAAACCAAGCACACTATTGAGCTGAAAAGTTGTAAACAGATATAAGTTTAGATCCCTTATGCCTTATGAGGATAAAAAGTTTCATCCCACGGCTCTTTAGTTTTGGATTTTGGAATTTGATGACATCATGTGAAAATGATCTATAGAATATTTTACGAACTATAATAAATCATCCCTTGAACATGACATGAATGCTCTTCTATGAAACTATTAATCGTACAAAGTTCCTGAGTATATCGCTACACCTCCCAGAAATAACTATACGGCCAGTGTCACAACATTTTTATTATGTTACTAGATTCAGCCTGTAATGCATGTCGAGTTCAATGATATACTATCACCATTTCTCCACGTGTAAAGTGTTTGTTAGCTGATGCACGAGATGACATGCAATTCCTGAGACAATTCTAACAAGAAAAATTAACAAATAAATTATTCCAAGCGAGCCTTGATTATATCTTCACAGCTATGAATTCCATTTTGCCACTCTCACTCTCCCAGGGTTCGAAGACGTTGTTTAGATGTCAGAGTCACTTGAAGATGTTTATGAAAGGTACTAAACATGGAAACACCAGAAAAAGGGAGAAGGCAATGAGCCTAATTTTTTTTTAAAAAAATTAGCCAAAAAAATGCCTGTCATCGGTTGGGCAATAGGAAGCAAAACATTGTGTGGTGGCCTTAGTTTAGTGACCGGGTTTTCCAGAATATGTCTATAAGCCCGTTTGCTCTATACAGACATGGTTGCACTTTTTGGTTACTGTAAACGTCCGAAAGTAACAACCCCTATCACCCCCCACCAAAAATAGTGAGATAAAGGTTTAGTAGTATATTTGTTTTGCTAATCAATGGTCCTGAAGGTGAAAGTTACCGTATAATCATAGGCACTGCTGCAACAAGAGAAAGTATCACTTATGCCGCAAAGCGTTGTGAAATGTCAGTTTTTGCTCCGTCAGTTTATGTTGCGCTGTGCTAACACAAAAACCATAGAATTTTCATCAAGTAACAGAAACATACTAACAATAACTTTTCTTTAATAAAATTAAAATTGACAATTCCGTATCATTTCAACAGGTGTGGTAATGGTATCATGTGAAGAATTTTTGGAACATAAAGATGGCACGGTCACTCTGGCACCGCAAAATACAAATAACATAGATAAAAGGGTACGGTAGACAGCCATTGACAAGCTCCATCCCCCTTCACCCTTAAAAAGGCTCCTGGGTTCCGGTTAATACGTTTAAGCCCTTCTCTCCCAACTTAACGACATTAACCAAAAGATTATAATCCTGCCATGAAATTATGATCCGGTATAATAATTACAATGTAACTTATGTCCACACATTCATAGCCACCATTGAAATAGCCGCCATCGAATAAGTAGAGAACAAAAACACATCAAATCCAACTGTTTAATCTGAGTTTCCTGAGTGAGCACAAACTGTAAGGATAGGTGAAATAAATTTGTTGTGGTACTAGAATGCATTTCCTGATCTTGAAAATTTCATTTCCATCGGTGTGCATTACAGCTGTTTGTGAAGGAGCATCAGAAACTGATGTTACCATGACTTTAAGTCATGACCCTTGACCGAATGAACTACCTGTAAGTTACTTTCCTCAACAAAATCTGGACTGCAGCATACAATGGAGAATAGCTGTACCGCATGTAAAAGTAAGTCATCCTTTTTAAGCAGAGCTTAGTGCAATAATTTCATTTAAAACCTGCATTTCTGGCTTAAATACGTCTGTGCACTGAAGTGTCAAGTGTCGGGTGCTAATTAGTTCAAATTTTAGTGAAATTACTTCATTTTCAAAAACATTTTATAAAGCACTCGCTTAAAATCCCAGACTAATTTTTATATGATGTGCAAGGAGAACACTTAGACAGGTTATAATCAAAACACGAGCCCGATTGAACAATGGCCACATATTGAATAGTTGGTTTGTAATAATTATGAAGTAAAACTCGATTTGCTGAGACTGTGGTGAAGCCTTTAATCAACAAATATGTTTTCTCGTAGCAAGAAGCATCATCTAGAACCAAAAAGTAGGCATAAATAAAGTGTCAGACATTTCTTCTTTTAAATTAGTTTCTTTCTTTCTGATGATATAGGCTTTTGCCACTTACGCAAAGACATTTACGCGAATGCCAATTTATGCTAATTATTCTGCTATTTTTCGCCAGTGAGAGTGCGAAAATCGATTTTCTCAAATAATTCGAAAATCCGGCTGTATTTTGAGAAAGAAATCCCGAAACCTTTGAAAACTCATTAATACCTCATTAAAAATTGAAAATTAAGATTGGCTTCAGTTTTGACTGTGGCAGCAATTTTTGCATTTTGCTTGATTTTTCTGTGCATTTGCGCTACTTAAATACTCTAATTATCATCATTAACCCACGCTAAACAAACTCAGAGAGTCTACAACTCTCTTTTGGACTCTGACATAGCTGTTTTCTTTAAGGGCTCACTGCACAGTCTAATCATTAGCCTCCAATACAGGCATATTATAGAGAGTGCGTGCATGTTGAGTGAGCAAGCACCCCCTTAGATTTGAAAAACAGGGAGACTTATTTGTATAGAGGATATTACATGCCCGTGCATGGACACAAATTTTATCTTCGAGTGTTCAACTCCACATCTCACGAGTGAGCACAGCAAATGAGTGAGATATTGAGTTGAACACGAGAAGATAAAATTTGTATCCACAAGCAGGCATGTAGTATTCTGTTTATTGTATAAACATACTAATGACGATGTTTTTGGCGATTTCCGAAGATTTCCGACCACTTTCCGCAGATTTACAAAGATTTTCCAAAATTGTTCCGAAGGCCAGACGAATGCTTCCGAACATTTTCCGAACATTTTCGGACATTTTCCGAAGATTACCAAAGATTGCCAAAGATTGCCGAAGACGACCGAAGAAGATCCAAAGATGTTTCGATCATACATCAACAAATTTAAGTGTAGTTAAAGGGACAAAAGAATATCTTCACAGTGTGAAAGATAAAAATAGTATCTTCACTGCACGCAGTGAAGATATGATTTTTTAGTAAAAGGAAAAACTGGTATTTCACTGGTGTTTATATTATTAATAAAAGTTCATAATAGTGAATGATAACAGATGAAATGCTTTGAAAACTTAAATACACGTAAGTCCTTCAAGTGCCAGGGTTCCTTTAAAACCTGAGTCATCAAGGGTACTTTTTAATACAGTGTACATGTACATGTATTTACCTGGTTGGTCAAGGTTTGAATGTTTTGGGTTTGCCCACTGTCCTTCCAGCTTTGTCCACTGTCGGTCCAGACTTCTCCACTGTCCATCCATTGTTGACTGTGTGATAAGACATTCAGAAAAGATTCTTGATTATGACCTGACACATGATCCACTGACAGTAACTGTGTACATTTACAGATGTACATAATATGTATTTACCTGGTTGGTCAAGGTTTGAATATTTTGAGTTTGCCCACTGTCCATCCAGCTTTGTCCACTGTCTGTCCAGATATGTCAGTCTGTCCATCCATTGTTGACTGCGTAATAAGACATTCAGAAAATATTCTTGATTATGACCTTGCACAGTGAATTCTTTGATTACATTTTGACATCTTTTGACAACTTTTTCATTACATTTAATTGCAGCAATTTTTTTAACCAGCCAATAAAAACATGGGAACTGTTGAGGGCAGAGATGTTAAATTGTCAAATTAACCTGATTCACTCTCATGGGACTTTCAGAAGTCTCAAGCTGCAAAGATCTGAAACCAGTGGCAAGTTGTCACAGTTTGATTAGCCATTTGAAATGGAAGCCATCAGAAGTTGTCAAACAGATGTCAAAAACTAATAAAATATTTCAGTAGGTGACAAATTGGTATTAAGGCATGTAGTACTGTAAAGTTCGGTGTACATAAATTATACAACTAACAGAATTTTAGAACAAGGAACTTTCCCAAAGGTGAAACTGAAGAACTCAAAGGTTTCTGTATATAATTAGTTTTTCAACAATCAGTACCTGTCATGTTACAAACTAGCTACTTTTTAAGTCAAACTGATCATGAAATTCTAACTTTGAATGCAATCTCCACCTTATAATTTTTTGTTACCTTTACCAGTTTGTTTCTCTGCACAAAAAAAGAAGTCTGACCTGCTGTACATCTCATGCACATGTAGTATGTAAAGCAGGGCAGTATAAAATGGGGTAGACATGGGGGGAGAACTGGGGGAGTGAGAGAGAGGAGGAATGCCTGCTATATAAGAGCCCCCTCTTTTTTGACACATCTGCCGCTGCTGGGGGGTGAAAAATTGCGATTGCCTGGTACACACTGAGTATTTTTAACTGTTAGTTGCATGTTATCTCATCAAAAAAATAACCATGACAGCTGAAGGTGTTGGCCATGAGTCTATTATGATAATCTAGTTGAAGACTATCGAGCTAAAGAAACAATCAACTAACTTGAACAGGGGTTGTGGAACAACAGCTGGGTGAAAAACCTCCCCGTACGTCCACTTGCCCCTAGGAGGAAAACCCCGGGCCAGCTGCACCCCACGTTCAAAGGCCTCCCGGGCTGGGCCAAATAAAAACTCAATTAAACAGAAAAACTACTAATAATAAACCATCTTGTTGTCTTGTCTTGGTAGCCAATCTTTAAGCATCCTCTTTAATTTGTGTCTCTAGGTGTGTTGCCATTTTCCTGTCTCTCCAAGTCCATGCTGTCTTGTGACGATCTCTGCTGTCTAGCATCCTGTGACAAAACAAGCAAACTAATAAGTTACAGTATTGTGGGATCTAATCTAAAGCTTTAGACAACAAACATTTTTACCAGTTTTTTGGTTTTAACTCTCATTTTGTTTAACAGTGACATTGGGATTACTCATCATTATTTAAAATATAAATTCCTCATCATCATTAGTCCTGGCTCTCCTCTGGGAGAATAGGGCAATTGACTTGTCTCCCCCAATCTGCTCTGTCCCTCACAGCGGCAACAGCCTCATTCCAAGTGGCAAAACCCACCTTCTGCCTCTTTCCCTGTACAGTTCACCTCCATGTCTCCCTTGGCTGGCCCCTACTCCTCTTACCCTCTGATGCCCAGGCTAGGGCAATGCATGGGTTCTGTAGGCGTCCATATTATGCAATACATGCCCTATCCAGCGCCACCTCCATCTCCTAATCTGCTCACAGATGGTGCAAGTCCTAGCTCTTTGCCTCACTTCTTTGTTGGTAACCCTCGTTGGCCAATATATCTTTAACACCCTCTGTAGGTGCTTGTGGAGGAATGTGTCCGGCTTCACCTCATCCCTATTGGTCATTCTCCAAGTCTCACATCCGTAGATTAGCACTGCTATGATGCTGGACTTGACGATCCTGATCTTGGTGTCCTTGCTCAGTTGACCACTTCTCCAGATCTTGGCTAGTTTGTTAAATGCTGCTGTAACTTTTCCTAAATGGCTCTGGATGTTGTCCTCAGCCCCTCCATGCTTGGTCACTCTTGCTCCTAGATAGTCAAAGCTGTCCACATCCTCTATTTCCTGTCCACCTACTACAACTGCATAGTTGTTCTTTGTGTTGATCCTCATGAGTTTGGTTTTCTTGGTGCTGATTTTCAGGCCCGTTCCCTTCCCTTTTCTATTCAGGCGGTCAATCTTTGGCTGGATGTGTGTGAATGTACTTGAGATAAGTGCCAAGTCCTCTGCAAAGTCTAAGTCCTCTAATGTAGTTGTTATCTTCCACCTGATGCTGGTTACTGCATGTTCAACTGTCCTCATCACCCAGTCAACCACCAAGAGAAACAGGAACCCTGACATGTTGTATCCCTGCTTAACATCCGACTTCACCTGAAACCAGTCTGTTCTTCCATCGCCATTCACCACTGCACTTGAGCAGTTTTTGTACATGACTTGCACCATTCTCACCATCTTTGGTGGTATTCCATAGCATCTCATGATCGTCCAGAGAATGCCTCTGTTTATGCTGTCAAAGGCCTTCTCGTAGTCCACAAAGCATAGGTACAGGCTAAAGTTCCATTCAACTATCTGGTCGACGATATTCCTGAGTACAAAGATCTGTTCTTTTGTGCTCCTTCCCTTTCTAAAGCCAGCTTGTTACCTTCTCAACTCAGCATCTGTCCCAGCAACAATCCTCTTAATCAGAACTCTTCCAGCCACCTTAGCTACAATGGACATGAGGGTGATACCTCTCCAGTTCCCACAACTTGTGAAATCCCCTTTCTTGGGCAGTTTGATGATAAGCCCTCTGGACCAGTCCCTAGGGACACTTTCTTCCTCCCAAATTGTGTTGAATAGCCCATGCAGGATATTTGCTGTGGTGTCAGTGTCAGCCTTTAGAAGGTCTGCTGTAATGCTATCTATACCTTGTGCCTTACCACTTTTTATGTCCCCCAGTGCACTCTTAATCTCCTTCCTTGTTATCTCTCCTATGTCAATGCTGTCATTCACCACATTTGTCTTGTCCACCTCAGCAGCAACCTCAGGAACTGGCCTGTTTAGAACCTCCATGAAGTGCTTTTGCCATCTGGCTTTGACTTTGCCTTCTTTGGTCAATAGCCTTCCTTCATTGCTCTTCCCCATTCCTACCTTCCTTGGCCCTTCATTGCATAACCTCCTAGTTGCTTCATTTACTCCCTTCATTTGATCCTGCTGTGCAGCATCTTCAGCTTCACGTGCGACACTGTTTATCTCGTATATCTTGTCCTTCCTAAGAGTCTTCTTCACCTCCTTGTCTTTTTCTCTGTACTCATTTCTGGTTTTGTTCTTCAGCCTTTCTGATCTTGCACCATCTATCTTCTTCTTTAGTTTCCTCCTCTCCTCAATCTTTCTCCAACTGTCTGTGCTGTTCCAGCTCTTACTCTCCTTCCTGCACCCCAGTACATTCAGTGCCATTTCAGTGTAGGCGGTCTTGATCTTCTAACACCTTTGCTCTATGTTGTTGGTTGGGACAGGCTGCTCACTGTTCTGGTGGTCATCTGCATCCATATCATTCTGGTCTAGCGTCTGGGGGATGCTGAATCTATTCCTCAGTTCAAGCTGGAACTGCTGTCTTCCCTCAGGTATTCTCAGTTTACGCTTCTTGTGCCTTGCAGTCCCCACCTGTTTCTTGCTTGTGCTGTTCAACTTGAGTTTGGCTTTAGTTATGACAAGGTTGTGGTAGCTCCCCACATTAGCTCCTCTGTGTGCTCTTGTGTTTCGGACTGACCTCTTAAACCAGGACCTGACTGCCACATGCTCGATCTGGTTCTCATGGCGACTGTCTGGGGAGGTCCATGTATACTTGTGCACATCCTTATGAGGAAACATGGTTGATGTTATGGGGCAGTTGTTAGATACACAAAGCGGTAGCCATTGTCGATTCTCTCACAATTTAAACCATGTTTCCCTACGATGCCGCTCTCACCCTGCTGACTCTCCCACCTTATTGTTCCAGTCTCCCATTACCAAGAGCATGTTGTGTCTGGGAACCGCATCCAGCGCCTTCTGCAATTGATCGTAAAAGGTCTCCTTTACCTTGTCTTCCACATCGTTGGTTGGAGCGTACACTTGTACTATAGTTGTCTTTATGTATTAAGAGTAGAATCTGGCCGTAATGATATGGCTGCTGACAGGTGTCCAACTCTCCAGACATCCTCTGGCATGCCTGGTCATCACGATTGCTACCCCACTTTGGTAAACATCATCTTCCCTACCTGAGTAGAGGATGGTCTCTCCAGTCTGAGTTCTGAGTCTGCCACACCCAGCCCACCTACACTCGCTAGTTCCCAGGATACTGATCCTATGTAGTAGCATCTCTGATCTTACTTGAGTTGTTTTGCCAATGCTATACATGGTGCTCACATTCCAGCATCCGATCCTAAGTATAATTTTGAGATTAGCCAACGACCCTCTTCGTCCACAAGCTTCTTTGCAGATTTCACCCGTGTCCGTCATTCTGCCATTGTCCCAAGTGATAAAGTTGTCACCTGGAGTTTGGCAAGTCGTCGTGCTTGATCCAGTATAGTTTGTCCTCAATTAGTCTCTGGTTTCGATAATCAGGTTGTGTAGGGTGATTAGCCCTACGACCAACTCCAGTGGAGATGGTTGGTGTGTTATCGGGATTCTCCTTCCCGTAGGTAGTTGCCTTGTTAAGCTGACAGGTACTACCCCCTGGGTTTTGGCTCGGAGTTTTCCACCTCCTAGATGGGTTGCTTCCCACAGCTATGGAGCCCCATCTGCCCTTTCCTATCACTAGCCAATTTCCTGTTGAGCTGAGCTGGCTACCCTGATGTAGTTCAGCCAGTGGGTCGACACCATTGCCGGTGGTGTGCCTGTTGCCTGGGGTGTGCCTGGGAGCCATATGTCAGAACCTGGTGTCGCATGTGGACCAGTGCACATCAGCCACCCTAGGAAGAGTGTGACCGCCCCCCTGTACAGGTACTACCACACACAGGCACCCAATACACCCCGCAAAAATATAAATTACTTAATATTCTATTTCATTCACTAATTAATGTGTACCTAGTTTTCATGACGACCTTGGTCAGACTGTACATAGCTTAGTTCAACACAACCATTTCCTATCCAGGTTTGTCTACTGTCTGCCCAAACTTGTCAGACTATAGTATACTGTCCATCCATTGTTGATTAGTATGTAATGAGACTTTCAGAAAAGATTCTTGATTATGACCTGACATGTGATCCAAAGTAACTGTGTACATTTACACGTATTTACCTGATTGGCCAAGGTTTGAATGTTTCAGGCCTGCCCATTGTCCATCCAGGTTTGCCCACTGTCAATCCAGGTTTGTCCACTGTCTTTCCAGATATGTCTACTGTCCATCCATTGTTGACTATGAAATGACACATTCAGAAAAGATTCTTGATTATGACCTGACACATGATCCACAGTAACTGTGTACATTTACATGTATTTACCTGGTTGGTCAAGGTTTGAATGTTTTGGGTTTGCCCACCGTCCATCCAGGTTTGTCCACTGTCTTTCCAGATATGTCTACTGTCCATCCATTGCTGACTATGAAATGAGACATTCAGAAAAGATTCTTGATTATGACCTGGCACATGATCCACAGTAACTGTGTACATTTACACATATTTACCTGGTTGGTCAAGGTTTGAATGCTTTGGGTTTGCCCACTGTCCATCCAGGTTTGTCCACTGTCCATCCAGGTTTGCCCACTGTCCATCCAGGTTTGTCCACTGTCTTTCCAGATATATCTACTGTCCATTTACTGTTGACTATGAAATGAAACATTCAGAAATGATTCTGGATTATGACCTTGTACAGTGATTACTTGATTTTGACATCTTCATGACAACTTTTTCATATTAATTGCTGTATTTTTAACCAGCCAATCAAAACATGGGAGCTGTTGAGGGCAGTGATGTTAAATTGTCAAATTAACCATTCACTCTCGTGGGAATTTCAAAAGTCTCAAGCTGCAAACATCTGAAACCAGCGGCAAGTTGTCCCAGTTTGATTGGCCATTTGAAATGGAAGCCATCAGAAGTTGTCAAACAGATGTCAAAAACTAAATTTTGTAGGTGGCAGTGGTAAGGCACGTACATGTAGCACTGTAAAGTTCTGTGTATATGAAATATAATACAACTAACAGAATTTTAGAACAAGGAACTTTGCCAAAGGTGAACCTGAAGAACAAAAAAGGTTTCTGTCTATAATTGGCTTTTCAACAATCAGCTCCTGATGTTACAAACTACTTTCTAGCCTGATTGATAATTCCAACTTTGAATGCAATCTCTGCATTATAATCTTTTGTTACCTTTGCCAGCCTTCATAGCAGGGAAGTGTAAAGTGGGGAAGACAGGGAGGGAGAGGACTGGGGGAGTGGGAGAGAAGAGGAATGCCTGATATAAGAACCCTCTTTTTTCTGACACTTCTGCTACTGCTGGTGGGCACAAAATTCTGATAGGCTGATACACACTGAGTATTTTTTTTTCCTGAACCCAAGACCCAGTGTTATAAAGATCTCACTTCAGGGTAGTTTAAAATGAGTAGTTTAAATTCAGTGTAGTTTTAATAGCCACTGCTGATAGGCACAAACATTTAATAGGCTGACCGAGTAGTTTTTTTTTTCTGAACCCAAGACCCACTGTTTTAAAGATCTGGCTTCAGAGTAGTTTTAATTGAGTAGTGTTAATTGTTTGTTGCATATTATCTCATCAAAAAATAACCATCACAGCTGAAAACAAAGACATATTAGCAAGTGCTTTGAGAGATTTAAATCTTGTCAGCATAAGCAAATTTAGGCTTTCCTACAGGAATTTACATTGCCAGTTTTTTCTAATTGGAGAACATCTGTAGTATTGACAGTCACTGACAGTCTATAAAATCAAATTACATGGAATATGGTAGGCTTTAAGTGAAGAGCCTAGTTCTTATAGCAGGCATTCCTTCCCACTGTTCCTCACCATTTTTACCTTCCCTCACCTGTCCCTGTAACCCCTTCCCTGTTTACACCTGCAAAACATCTCTCCCCTAATTCCACCTCCAATACCTCAATGTCCTTTTTCCTGAAAAGCTGACAAGTTTGGAATGTCATATTTAAGCACTGTACTGTATTTACCTGGTCATTCACTGTGACCAGATTTGCTTCTTCCAGTAGCAACTGTACCCGTATTTAAATCACTCTCCGATACCCCACCTTGTTTGAAAATTTGAGATTTGAACCCAAGACCCAGTGTTTTAAAAAATCTGGCTTCAGATGTGATAATCAAATTCCTAGCATTTTCCAGTATTAATAGTATTTACCTGGTTAGCCAAGGTGACAGATTTAGTTTCTTCCAGTTGCAACTGTTGCCATTTACCGCTACATCAGTGCCCTTTTTTTTTTTTTGGTCTGTCTCACCACCATTTCAGTCTTTAGCATCCACATCAATCCAGTGGCCTGACAGAAGAATAAAAAATAAAATTGTACAATCATGTATTCATTTGGCATCTGAAGTCAAGCAATTATCGTTAGAAATAGTACTTCCCTCTCCTAATCACCCATGACTTCACACCACATGTTCCTCTAATTCACTACTAAATTCACCACATTTTCTATAGTCAACATGTACACTCTTAAAAACAATAGTCTCAACAAAATGAGTTTGTAAAATATCCAAAACTTTGATGTGAAACCACCCACTTTGTCTGTAGGTTTCCTCAACCTTTTACATTGTAATACCATTGCTTGCATCTAAGCTTGAATACATGATGCCAAAACATGCTCTAATTTGGTGTCAAATGTGGCATGATTGGACATCAAACATTTCATGTTTAGCAGACCGTAATATAAACTTTCTCATTGATGTCCTTTGGGGATATAACATTATACTGAAAGACTCTGAGAGTGTTGCTCCCACCAATATTTCATGGTTATTCTAGAACAGGGCTTGAAATAACAGCTGGTCAACAGACAATGTCCAGTCAAAAATTGATTTTGTCCAGTTCAATCATTGGAGTGACCATACATTTTGTCTGGTTGTTTACACGTCAAAGGAAAATTTGATTCAGAGCTAGTTCTAAATTAATTTGTGCATTAAAAAAAAAGAAAGCAAACAAAAAATACAACCAGACTACCTACTTTGTCATCCATTAGTCATGACTGCAAATTAGCGGGTCTTCCAACATAGCATGTCTATCATTGTGTATGCTAATACAGTCCAATTTCCACTAACAGCTACCTCTCTACAACGGCCACTGCAACGTTGTTATCCCGGTGGATAGTCCATACANTTACACTTAACAACACATCTCTCCCCTACTTCCACCTTCACTACCTGTTAACGTCCTTTTACAGAAAAGCTGTCAAATTTGGATGTCATGTACACCTATCCAAGCATTGTACAGTATTTGCCCCATCAGTCAATGTGATTGGATTTGTTTCTTCCAGTAGCAACTGTAACCATATACATGTACATTATTCTCTGATACACTACCCTAGTTGGAAAATTTGAGATCTGAACCCAAAACCTAGTGTTTTAAAGATCTGACTTCAGCTGAGATAATCAACGTCCTAGCATTTTCCAGTATTTACCTGGTCAGCCAAGGTAACTGATTTGGTTTCTTCCAGTTGCAACTGTTGCCATAATATACATCAGTCCCCTGTTTTTCTTTTTTGGTCTGCCTCTTCACCATTTCAGTCTTAAGCATCCTAATCGTTCCTTCTTTCGTTATCTTCTTATGTTATGACTTGTTCTTCCACATAGATCCAGCTTCTCCTCAAGTGGCCTGACAGAAAAAAAGAAAATTGTACGTACAGTTGACATCTAAAATCACTCACTTTTTCTCACTGTGTTTCTCCTCAGCCTTTTAATATTAATTGTTTTTTAAGAACATTATTAACTATATCTATCATGGTCTATAAGAGACTATTACAAACTAATAACCATACAATAGAGACACCAAATTCCACTTTTACAATGTAGGGGTATAATAATTATAGACTACGCTCTCACAAAACTACAGTACCGACTGAAGTCGTACGCACAGTACATCAGCCACGGGTTTGACGAGGTTGAGAATGGGCAGTGCACAAGGTTTGCCTGTGCATCCACCTCGAGAAGACGAGACGAAACTGAGACCGAAACCTAGGGAATTGTGCATACTTCAATGACCGTGTCTTCATACTCTTAATTGCCTTTGTTTGCTTCATTGTCCTGCATTGTTCACTCTTAGACTGCAATACCCAAGAGATTTTTAACGGAAACCTTACCAATTAATTGGAAAACACACTGAGCAGAGTAAAATCATCCAAATTTACTGAAAATGTTAACGGCCTGCAGAAAGTGCTCAGCATCATGAAATGGTTTTGTTTTGTTCTTAACTCTCAGCTCCCAGTTGGCTTGATAACTCAGTTGGTAGAGCACTGCACCAGTATTGCAGGTCATGGGTCTGAATCCTAGCCTCTTTCAAGCCTAAATTTTTTTCAGGCTTTAATTTGACAACTGCTTAGTTGTGTATATGTAACTGCGATGATCAATCATGTCTTCATACCTTTCTCTGCAGTTCAAATAATATAATTTATGATCTTCATAAATTCACTTGTATTGGGTGATTCCAGAAAATAGCCATACGGTGATACCATATGGTATCATGGGCGGCATCTTGGAATTCCAAGTGAGAAGGAGGGTTCTGAGGATATGGGGGGGGGACAAAGTTTAGAATTTCAACATCTGTGGCTTGTAAAAAAAAAGGAAATGCTTGTCTCCAAGGCTGTTGTAAACATATTAGGTCTTTGTTTTAGGTCTCGCACATGCATCATGAATTAGGAACATGTGGCAGGTTCAACGGTGTGCTTTTATCTTGTTCTAGTTTGCTGAGTCCTGTTTGTACCATTGTTTGGAATAAAAGTAAGTTAGCAGTAACCAAGGCCGACAGGATCTCTTTACAGCTGTTACCTAAGGAAACTTTTAAGGAGTCCTTAGGCCCCTAACCTCAAAAGTTAGGAGCCCAAACCATTTTTCTAGGAGCCCAGGATAAAATTTGCCGTGGTCAATCCTGGGGGTTGGGGAGGTAGGGGAAGGTAGGGGGGGGNAGAGTTGCAGAAATTTAGGGGAGGGGCCTGGGGGCAGCCCCTTTCTCTCCGTTGAGATTTTCCATGAGAAACTAACATGGTCTAATATCAATCAAATTTTTGGAATCAAGCATACAGTGAAGTGTTCAGGTCATGATTGAGGAAGAATACTATTTATGGTGAAACTGAACAAAATTTGATAATTGGTGTATCCATGCAAGCGCTGCAACTTTTTTTAAAAATAATTTATATTGCTGCTTTTATTTTTGAGTTTTGCGATTCTATTTTTTTTTAATTAACAAAACAAAGCACACTGTACAAATCATGAAATGTAAGCTGCAAAATTAATGAAAACGAATAAAAATGAAAGAGGCATTTGGGGAGGTTTGAATTAATTTTTATCCTCACTGAAATGTGCTTTCCTCCCCTGGGCTTGGAACATTAGTATAAATTAAAGGTGACTTGGAGACAGCATTACTGCATTTAAAATTGGCAGCTACTTTGGAGAAATATCCTTGTATAGGGTAGAGTTGTGATAGCCTGTGAACGCAGACGTATTTCCAGCTGTCACTTGTCTCTGCCGAAAATAACGTCTGCGAACCCGAGCCAGGAAACAATTTCTGTGATGTAATGACTTTTGTCTCTCCTTGGCCAATCAGACTCCATGATAAAATGAAACTCGAGTGCTCCTCGCAGC